CAAATGATAGATTCTTACTCATCCCAAACCAATCCATCTGACACACTCAAAGATTGATGAGGATGGGTTAGAAGCGGAAATAAAAAAAAAAAAAAAAACTATTTAAGACATCTATAAAGATACTTCAAGTAATATTTAACAGGCAATATTTCTGTTCTGGGATAAAAAAAGAATTTTGAGGTAGATTTGCCATTGCAAATGACAAAGTGATTTTTTGGCACACTAACACTTACATGGGTCAACTATGTAAAGCATTGTTTTTTGGGGGTTATTTTTTTAATTACATTTTAATAAAATATATTTCTAAAAACAAGAGCTAATTGCCAAAATAAAAAATATTTGTAAGGCAAACTATAGATTCTTACCTGACCTCTGTCTTATAAACCTGATGATTGATGAGATGGGGGAGGAGAAGTGAAAAAAATGGATCCCTAAAAATACTTCAAAAAATGTTTAACATACAATAATTCTGTTTATAGATAGATTGTTAATTGCAAACAATTGTGATTTTTGGCACATTGACACTTACATGGATCAAGTAGTGCAAGTCATCATTCTTTATCACATTTAAACAAAATATTTTTAAAAGCAACAGCTAAATAAAAAAAAAAGAAAAGACACTAATTACCTGTACCAATAAAAAATTTTAATAATTTTTTTTTTTATATCAAAGTATATTTATATGTAAGAGTTACCAGACAATAGTATAGAAATTACTAAGGTCAAAAATAAAGGATTGTCATTTTTGAAAAGTTAGGTGAGGAACAAATTCCTTTTAATAAAATGGTATCTGTGGCCTGAGAAAGATTTGCAAATAGAAATAATAAATATTGAAGCACAGGGCATCTATCAGGTATCAGCAACATGAAAATCTAACAGGCACCAAAATTTAACAATCTGACTGTCAAGTCGGTCACACAGAGATCCAAATGGCACACAAATTATAAAAGACACTATTCAGAAACTAAAAATAGTATGAAGAGACCAAAAAATGTTTCCAGAAATGAAGAAAAGAGTACTGGGCTGATATGTTTAATCTCCTATATTGTGTTTTTTTTTATTGTTGTTCACTGAATACAAAAACCCAGGAGCCAGCAGAGGGATACTGAATGAGATTGTTATATGTAGATAATGGTTGACCAAAGACTTGAAGATTGTAGTGATTGGTGAAGCATCATCGTGGGAGTCTGTTACCAAAGGAAAATGAACGGATGCAACCCTGTATACGTGATATGGATAGTCTTAGCTGTAAAGGTGTGAACTAGTGGAACTAAGGAATGTACTTCGTCAGAACATTTTCCATGGAAATAATGGTAAAGTGGCCAGAGGCTTGCAAACATTTCATTTGGAGGAAAGGAGTTCTAGAGTAGAAAATTATATATATATATATATATATATATATATATCCAGGTGAGATGAGACCAAATAGAGTACAGTTCCAACATGCATGACATTTAATTTAAAAAGGGCTCAATACAAAGTAGAGTAATTTTATTTATTTTAGGATATTATTCCAAAAAAACATGTCAAAATCAATGCAATAATTAAAACTTCATGTTTTGATGCATATCCCGCATCTCATCAGGCAATTGTAAATTATTAGTGAGTGAATGTCCCGTTTTTTTAGATTTAAATCAAAATACATCTTTTTATGAAAAAAGAATTCGTAAAAAGAGTTTATATTTTGCTTTTAAATATAAATAAATCGGTCACTCACCAGTAATTTACAATCACCTGATGAGATATATTGATACGCATCAAAACACAACTAACAATTTTGTCATGTTTTCAGAGTAACAACATAAAAAAATATATATATATATATATATATATATATATATATATATACACACACACACATATATATATATATATATATATATATATAATCCTGTTATATTTGTATTTGTCCTCTCTTCATTAGTTCACACTACCGTTATGCCCTGCCAATACCTCATAAATAATATTCCGATTTGATTGTGTGGAAAGAGAGGAAAAGGCACAACATTGATATTTTGTGAAGTCTTTCTTGTGATAAGACATTACTGGCTTCGTTTTGAAAGTATTAAATAAATACAAGCCAGATTTTCCCCACTTTTTTACAAGCAAACTTACTGCTTACTCTATTGATATGGTAAGCAGTAAGTTTGCCTGTAATGCTGAGTCAGTCTGCTAAAAGGACACTTGAAGTTAGAATCAAAAGGAGCTAGTTGAAATTTCTAGGACAAAGAGGAAAAAAGGCTTGGAAAATGTGATACTCACAAGATATATTTGAAGGCAAGAGGAGTAGGGGGAAACAGTAAGTAACCTGCCTAACATATTTGTGTAAATGGTTGTCAAAACAGGAACTTGAAGATAAGATGATAAACTGACAAATATTGCTTCAAGCTACAAAGGATAGGAACTTGGGGAGAGGCATAACTGCTCATGTCACGGAGTACACAACACAGAAAAGAAATTTCTACACGAATCAAAAATATCTGTATTTTTTGTCAAACATTTTTTTCACTGCAAAATAGATAACTCTAGAAATAATCATTTTTAAGAATTATCTCCCTGCTATTATTGCACTGCCGACGGCTGATGGCAGTGTTTTTGTTATGACAAAGTAAACATCTTCAATCGGAAACAAATATATAAGAAACATGTTTGAAAATATCACAAGGAGCACTTTCCAAAACACTGTGCCTTTTCCCCTCCTTCCACACAATCAAATTCGAATATTATTTATGAGCTATTGGCAGAGCGTAATGGTAGTGTGAACTAATGAAGAGAGGGACAAGTACAAATATAATAGTATTATAATATATATGTCATCGACAGACAGACTGTTTCACAGCTCATCAGGGTGGCTAGACATCCAATTGCGTCAAGCCAGGATTGAAATGTGGTTTTATATTTTATATATATATATATATATATATATATATATATATATATATATATATATATATGTTTAGTGTCATTCACAGACAGACTGTTTCACAGTTCATTAGTGTGGCTAGACATCCTATTGCCTCAAGCTGGTATCAAAAACTGACTGATTTGGTATCAGTCGAAGACTCTACCCCTAAGTCATTAGCGAACGGAAATGTGTGTGTATATATATATATATATATATATATATATATATACATACATACATACGCACACACATACTAAATACATACATTCATACACACTCACACAAGATGTCCCATAATAATAGGACACGTTTTAAATGCAAGTACCTTGTATTATAAAAATGACAGACTACTTCCTGTGGGGTTACATCAAGGGCAGGGTGTATACAGAAAAACCCACACAGCTGTGGAACTAAAACAAAGCATTGATAGAGACATCAGAGCCATTCCAGTTGATATGCTAAGCTGCACTGTGTTTGAAATGTGAGAGCGAGCTCGTGAACGTTCTCTTTGTGGTTGGGGATGTAACATTCAAATCTTAGATAAGATGTTGAACTCTTGTATATCAGTTATGTAATAAACATATTTGGTACTTTATATCATTTTTATAATCCAAGATACATGCATTTAAAATGTGTCCCATCTTTATGGGACATTCTGTATATGCATAAAATTTGCAATATTGGAGATGGAGTGTTAGTAGATACAGTCACTCTAGACATAGAAATCAACAGTGCATAGTGACTATCAGTGTCACACCTGAAGTGATTTTCATATACTGTATATTTCTGCATATAAGGTGACCTTTAGATAAGACAAGATCAAAAATATAGTAAATTTTCATGAATCTATCTCATGTCTGCAGTATGACTGTTTAATGATTATATAAAGATGATGTTATTGGTAATGTTACTGTATCCTTAGAAATTCAAAATAAACAAAATAAAACTGATTCCATATCAAGTTTTTCCTACACATATCCCCTAAAAGGGAAATCAGTGCTTTGTTTACGTTCCATAATGGGATCTATTGCCAATATTGATTCTTCTTCTTTTCCTATATCTGAAACAGTTACAAACAGCTTTGTGTACTAATGGCCATTTACATATACTTCACTTACAATCACAAGTTATATATAATCCTAAATTGTGTTATAATTTAGCACCAAAACAATAATGAATTTTTAATGGGAAATGAATATTATGTTATCCTAAATGTTATTACTGCCATAATTAACACTACAATGATGATTATTGAAAGTTTAGCAAAAGATAAGGGTTGCTGTGAATGTAATCATAAGTCAATGTTTACATTTTCTCAGCTGAGCTTGCATGGATACAAGTTGATTTCATTGATATGGAATTATTCTTTAAATAGGTAATTTATTATGAAGTTATGCCAGTAATATATAAGGTAGAAATGATTTATTACTTTCATTATTCGTTTATTTGATAATGTGAATCTTTTCATCTACATTATTGGTTACTGTACCAAGGCCGTGGTTAGCCTACCGACAAACATTATTCAGAATTTAAGGTTTCTTTTTTACAATTGTAGTATAAGACAACACCCCCTCCCAATTTTTAAGGTTAATTTCTAGGGTTTAAAGGTCATCTTATACATGGAAATATATGGTATACGATGCTAAGGTAGGTTCTTTTACAGTTCTTATTTCCGTCTTTTCTTTTTCTCTGGCAGCATTGGCCTTGTTTTTATGTTTGTTGTGTTCAAGGTATATTTTTGTGTTTTTTTTTTTAATCATTTCACCCCAAGCCAGGTAATAAAACCACTTAAATGCAAGGGTTACAGAGTGTCAGAGTTGGCTGCTTGCTTTTGTTTAGCAACATATCAATCTCTATAGGTCATTGAATGCCGAAATCAAAATATTTTGATCACTATTTTATTTATATTCTTTTTTTGAGATAATGTTTTTAGGCATAAAAGTTTTACTAATTAACCCATAGCTGAGGATGGAGAAGAAATAGATACATACCTTTCCCAAGTGTATTTGCACATAATATAACAAACCAAACTGGAACTCGGTACTCTGATTAACAATTCTGTACTGTTATACCTTACACCACCCACACATCCAAGCTTACAGCACCTGTTATTCCCAAGTGGTCATCCATCTTGGTACTGACCAGGCTTGACATTGCTTAACTTCAGTGATCATATGAAAATAGGTTTTTCAATGTGATACAGCCATAAATAAAGTGTTAGAGAATGAGAAAAATAAGAGAGGACAATAAAAGAACAAGAATTAAGAAGACAGAAGAACTGACATTCCGTTTAAATTTTTGAAGATCAAAGTTGACTGGGAAGGAAGAAGCCAGAAGAGAGTTCCACAAGCAAGAAGTGCAAGAGAAGAAACTGTCAGCATAGAACTTACAGTTACATCTATCCATTTCAACTGTAAAATGATCTTACCTAGTATAGTACTCTGCTTAAATTCATAAAGTTTAGGTGCAAAGGTTTTCAGTAATTAGGTGTGTGTGTGTGTGTGTGTGTGTGTGTGTGTGTGTGTTTGATCAGAATATAAAACTATTAAAGTTAAAACCTTGTCATAGTCAGAGAAGCACAAAATGCTTTCTAGCCACTTTCAGTCAAGTTTATGAAGAAAAACAGTAATGATTTGTCAAGATTTTTTTAGAATCAAAATAATATTATCTATGTCATTTAGTAATTGTCTTACCTTGATTCTTTCACCACCATATGTAAATTAGTTAACTTTCTTGGAAAAGCAGACATTATTCAAAATTAACAGCAGGCAACTAGATTATAATTTAGACAGAACAAACCCCCCCCCCCAAAAAAACACCTACAGTGATAAAAAAAAAGAATCTATTTTTTTGTCAAACTCAACTCAATGCCATTTTGCATAATTTTACTAAAAACAGCTTAAAATCAGAAAATAATGACTTCAGATTTACGTTCTGAAAGAATTGCATTTTACAATAAAAACACACACATATATATATATATATATATATATATATATATATATATATATACACACACACAAACATATATAAAGTTGTAGCCTCTGTCTGCTTGTTATGAAACTTCCTAGGGTTTTAGAGATCAACCCCCACCCCCTCCATAACCATATATATTCTGAAACAACATTACCCAGGGTACTTGGATAAGTAGGTTTCATTTTGATCACCCCCACCTACTGAAAAAATTTTTTCCTTTGATTTAAATTAAATTTAAACAAGGGAATAATTCCTATCAAAATTATAGAAGGAGAAAGCCAGAAGATGGAGGTCATATCAGCAAAATCATTTTGATCAAAGGTGGTCCCCGGGAAGGGTGGGGTTTGCACAAACCTGCCACTAATTTTTTTTTTTCCTTTGATATAAATTAAACTTAAATTTGAACACAGGAATGACTCCTAGGGTACTTGGATAAGCATATTTCCTTTTGATCAAAGTGGGTACTCTCACAACCCTCCACAGAAAAATTTTCTCTTTTGATTTAAATTTGAACAAAAGAAGGACTCCTATCCAAAATATAGAAGGAGAAAGCCAGAAGATGGAGGTCACATCAGCAAGATCATTGAGTAATATTGAAATGCATATTTCACCACAAATTATAACACTGATTTAAAATCAGTCATCATTTTCTTACAAAAAAAAAAAAAAAAAAAATGTGTGACGTGCAGCAAGGTACAGGTAATTTAGCTAGTTATGATGATAAAATGCCTAACAATCTTACTTAATGGTAATATTATCTAGTTCCTTATAAGGAAACATTTGGTATTCAATGAGCAAGCAGCCAGTACCAATTTTGGATGAAATTCATAAAATCTTTCTTAAAACAATTTTTTTTTTTTTTTTTTTTTTTTTAACTAAAATAGGTTTTTCAAGTATAGTAGCTGTTATTACTCTTTCCACTAATAATGAGGGGTTTCCTTCCTAACCTGTTGTTTGAAATAGTGTGGAAGATCAACATCTTGATTACATCATTATTTTCTCTTTTGAGTTACATGTGATATCCATTTTTGTTGTTGCCGTTGCTGAAAGTCCTCAAGTGATGTGGTTTCATTTACTTGATATAGTTCTTTGTTTGATTCTTTATTGTGAGTCCACAATGTTCAACAAAAAATAAACCAGATGTTAAAATTTAAAGCTGAGCACCTTTGCATCTTTAACATTTTCAGTGTCAAACTGTAACTGATATTTCGTGTATTTCTCCAGCCTCTTTAGATGTATACAACTGACTCAATAGATAAAACCATCATTCATCTGAAGTTCTTTCTTGGAGCAAAACATCTCACTAAGGAGTATTTTTTACATATTGTCATTCACTTATTATATAATGCTGTGGTTCCCAAATGGTGTGGTAGACCACATAGCAGGTGAGGCAGAACGATTGAACAAAGGTTTAGAAAGTTTCAAAAAATTCAGATGCAAAAAACAAGTAAAAAAAAAAAAAAAGTGATTTCAAAATTTAAAATATTATTAAGGATTACCATATTTGACAACATATAAGACAAACTTTTTTTTTAACTAAAAATATCTTTTAAAATTCCTCTGCATCTTATATGCCATATTATGCCATATATAGGTTTAAAATTTGTGATAGACAGCCAAAATTAGCTATCTGGTAACTCCTATTAGCTTAGACTTCAAAAGCAACTTTTATATACCAATTGTCATTATTTCAAAAGCTATTATGCAGATTAAATGTGTTATCATTGATAATATTCATTATATTAATTTCATCAAGTTTAATATTAGTACTTTGTTTCACTAAAATTATATGCAATAAATTCAAATTATATATTTGTAAAATATATTTGTTTCATTAATATTTTTCTTGTGATAACTTCCGATTGCATTGGAATAAATACAATCAGAATTTTTATATCCTAATTATCCCACTAAGATGTTTTCAAGATGCAGGTTGTACAGATCAAATAAAAAGTTTTTATAGGCTCATGTTCTTTTTTTTATTATTTAATTTTAATCATGGCTGGTTTAACCAAAATAATACATCATAAATATAGCCTAGGCTGTACCATTTACTAATACTTTTACTAATTACTAATTTTTTCTTGATTTGCCTTGCTGAAATTGGGGTGCATCTTATACACCCATGTATCTTATATGCTGTCAAATACAGTACTTGTAATTGCATGCATGAGTCCCAGTATAATTACTGATAAATAATTATTGACCAAATTTATCGTTGTGATATTTTTGCATTATTATTAAGTAACTAGGCTCCGCAAATTGGAGGAGAGAGTTATCAATGATACTGTTCTGACTTTGAATCCATGATTAGCTCCCTTTAAACTTCTGTTTTTTTTTTTTTTTTTTTTAATTTTTAAATGTATTTCCTATCATATAATATTTGGTGAGGCACGAGCAAATTTTCATTATGAAAATGTGGCCCAGAGAAAAAAGTTTGAGAACCACTGATATGTGTGTAGAAACAAAATAATATTCATTAAATGTTATTGTTATGGGAATTTACCTAAAACGATAATGGACTCTTCCTGACACTATAAATACTGCGGCTCTCAAGAGGTATAATGAATGAATGGTGTAACGAGTCGAGACAATATTAATTCACTCTAAACCAAAGAGACAGTCATTACTAACACCATCAATTTCTTGTACTATATTTCTGTTGTAATATATCTTTGTTATTGGACTCTTGTGTTTGTGTTGTTCTTCCTTGGTTCTAACCTTGGGCCATAACTGGGGTGCGAGGATATTGGACCATAACAGTTATTTACTAGTGAGAAAAATTATTGGTTCTGGATCCAAAGAACAACCTACAGTCTCTATTATTGCAATTCCTTTTATCTTTTGGATCCATAGAACAATTTACAGCTTCTATTATTGGAATTACTCTTCTTCTCTAAAGCCTCACAAACAAATTCACTAATAACCATCAGCAGTTAACCTAGAGAAACGAAAACCATATTGTTTATCTGAAAGAAGGACATGCGAAAGATGCTTAACCAATTTCTAGTTGGTTGGAGCCTCAAATACTTTTCCAAAAGGAGGTAAAAGAGTAATAGGACAACAATTTTAGGGATCAGAATTTTCACCAGAGTTCTTAAAAACAGGAACTACAACAGAGGATTTCCAACAAACTGGAAAACAAGAAGTAGCATTTGTTTTAAAGTTTGGGGAGAACACAAGCCAGTTCGGTAACACATTTCCTCAGGATAATCACAGTGATAACCTCAAGTTTTAATGCCATTTGGGGATCTAATCTGGAGATGATCTTAAGAGCCATGGATTTTTGTATTGTAAGCATAATTCTCTCTTTTTGCCAATGAATATTGCATTAAATTCTTTTTAGAATATTTTTTTTTCAGATACAAGTCTATTTAACCCATAGCTGAGGGGAGAATATTTCCTCAGGACAATTACAGGGATACAATTAAGTTTGCATGTCTTCTGGAGATCTGGTTTGGAGATGATTTTTGCATTGTAAGCATAACTTTATTTTTAAGTGAATATTGCACTAACAATTCCTTTTGAGAATGATGAGGATTTTTTCAGATACAAGTTCTACTATTTAACCCATAGCTGGGGGATATGAATTCATATCTTTCCCAAGGGTATCCACTTCTAAGGGAATGTAAATAACCCGACTGGAATTAAAGCTTGTTTTTCCCAATTAGGCCATGCGAATTACCGAGGCAAAAAACATGTCCATTGGAAGACCCCATATCCACCATCAAAAAGAGGAAGATGAAATAGTATGAATACACTGTCAGAGACAGTATTTCCACTGCCATCCAACAAGATACCCCCTTAAGAAAATGAGGCAGACATAGTGACATTGGAAAACTATTTTTCCTAAGTGGATTGGAAGACATTCGTAGAGACATTGGCATGCAATTGATATGTATGACAGGAGCTGGTCAGGTACCTAGTGACCCTATGACTACAGTGTGTAGAAGTCAAATGACTTACCTACTAATATGGCTGCCTTCTTGTATTTCCTTATTTATTGTAGAAAAATACAATTGTGGCACATGGCCTAAAAAAGGTGAGGTGTTGAGGCTAGCTAATCCGATTCATGACGCATTCACTCATTACAATTTCCACATTCACCATAAAAACTTGCCCATCACCAATCAATCCTCCATACACCCCAATACCGCATCCTCTCAAGGGGGGACCTACACAAACGCGCCCCATGCCATAAAAATTTAATGATAATAAATT